CCCTGAGCAGAGGGAGGAGTCCTCATGGTGTAAACAGTGTCTGCGCTCAGGGCGGTCGAGCCTGGCAGGAGCCTGCACCGTCCCACAGGTTACGCTCTCCTCCCTGCCATGACCTTTGCTTCTTGGCCTCAGAAGGGGATATATGAGGCTCTGACACTTTCTGCCATTTCCACTGATAGCTATAAAATACACTCTCCCCTTAAGTTTCGCATAACCAGGCACTCACTATGCAGCCGGGCCAAAGGCTTTCAGTCAGGACACCCCCTCCCGAGGGCACAGAGCCCGAGCACACCCCTGCCTACGCTCCAGCCGCTTGGTCTGCGTGGTGAGCCACCAAAAGTGGAGATGCTGCAGATTAAAAGGGCCGTCTCTCATGGAGTCTGCTCCGTAAAATCAAATCTAAACACTGTTGAGAGGTAAAACCCCTCACCCTCCAGCCCCCCACTCTTGCACCGTTACACAGGGAGCCCAAGCGCCCCACGGCCGGGGAGGACACGCGCTTACGCAGCCGGGGAGGCTGCGGAGCAGCTCTTTCTCCCGAGGCTTTTTAGACTGAGGATAGAAACAGCCTTCTCCACATCTCAACCCTGTCGATCCCTTAGGGAGGAGATTGCTCAGAGCGGCAGAGGGAGGGGGCAGCAGACGACATGGGCAGCTCCAGGTTAGTTTATGAAACTCACGTTCCACCCTAGGTGTGAAGTTTAGGAGATGGCTCTCCCCCGCCCTCCTGCTCTGCAGTACAAAAAAAGACCCAATTCTGCTGCAAGGAAATACCGGAGCAGAGACTTGTTACTACCTCTGCATTTTACAAAATCCTTCCACTCTTTTGCTTCAGTCTTTGGGTTTGGCTCTACTACACCAAAGTAAGCCTGACACCGCGGACAGGCTATGAATTTTTTAGTACCTGATATGCTGAACAGCCAGAAGCAGCAGCCTACCACTCGCAATAAAACCAAGCCTTTACCATCAGCACCTCCTGCAGCAGAGCACCTCCTGAACCAGAGATTCCAGAGTCCTCCGGCCAAAAATAAAAATACCCCGCTGCGTTCGCCAGGGCAGCCTGCTCACCTGTGGCTCAGAACACACCGACGGGACGGGCTCCTCCAGCGCAAGAAGCCAAAAAAATGAGACGCCGAAGCAACAGCACAGGGCAAATTTTGGGGTCGTGAGTTTTAAAAAGCAGGGGCTACCGCCGTTCCCAGGCGCCGCATCCAGCTCCCACACCACAAATGGCCGCAGCCCAAGAAGGGGCACCGTTTCCTCATTAGGGGATTAACAACTTAAGCATCATGTGAATATCTTTAAGGTTTTAAAGCCCAGAGAGCCGTTACTCCTCGTAACACCAGCTCGCCGCGCCGAGGGGTCGGCGGACCCCCCGCCGGAGCCC